AAGAATTCATGTAGCTCATGGTTCTGGCTGGCTCTTCAAGAGCAGAAAGCCAGCATCAGCCTGGCTTCTGATGAGAACCTGGGATGCATCATAGCACAGCTGAAAAACAAAACAGTAAACAGAAGGAACGAAACATATGAGTGGCCTCACTTTATCACCAACCACTGTTCTAGTAACCACTGTTTTTCTAGTAACTGTTCTGATGCAGAACTACAGAACTATATCAATCCTCCTAATGGCTTAATCTACTCTAAAATGTTCCACAATTTCTCAACACTATTACATGAAGAAACAAACGTTAACATGAGCTTTTGAAAGGACAAACCACCTTCAAACATGGTATACAGGAAGGAGGTAAGATGAAGACATGGGGTAGCAAGTATACAAAATTTAGGTCAGAAGGTTTATGTCCTTGTTGGAGGTGGGTCACCCATTGGTCTCTTTGCTCTCAAAACACCAACTATTACAAGGTGACAAATCATATGCCCAGAGGACATAAGTGTATCAGTTCAAAAGGAGGAACTATAACTATTGAAACGCACAATGTCTCTCCTTATCTCTCTCATTTCCTTATGGCTTTTGATATACTATATTACACAATTTCCACATCCACCTCTCCATAACAGCAGCCATAGCAAGTTTTATGAGGCTGACGTGTGTGTGTGTGTGTGTGTGTGTCTGTGTCTGTGTCTGTGTTTACAGAAGTGCAGGAGGTTAAACTGGGAACCTCACACATGCTATGGAAGCATTCAACCACAGAGGCGATTCCCCAGCCCTACACATCCTAAGTTTTTAAAGTGTCATTAAGGATAACTTTATGGCCTGGGGAGTAACCACAGTTCAGTTCAAACGTAATGTCACAAAGAATCACAATTATTTAATAATTTTTACTCCACTGAAAAATAGAACAGTACTACGTAAATATAGATATATGGATGCAGATATATTTATATGTAAATATGTATGCATGCTATAATTTAAGCTATTAAATTAAGGATCTGATGAACAGTTATCTATGTAACAACTAGTAAGAAGAATGTATGGAACCACTAGTAAGAATGACAGAATAAACTTTTGAAAACTTTACCTACTAATAGTAGGTTTCAAGCAAGACACCAAACCTGGAGCATCAGGTCAATTGATAGATATTTGAGTCCTATCCTCTAGTTTTAAATTATATACCATGAAGATAATTTCTATACTTGTTTTCATGTTATTGATGAGAAAGTTTACAGAGTGAGAACTATTAGAAGAGGGAGGGTGCCTGCCAACGTGGCATTTAAGTCAATAATTTGGCTTAAACTATAGTGCTACTCAATTTTATTCTGCTCAACAACTATTTATGGCATGGCTTTATGGTAGGACACTGTAGGAAATTTAGAAATGAATGATCATAGTCCCTGATGCCAGGATTTGTGAGGTCTCCTCTAATAGATTTCATCACTTAGATAAAAAAAATGGAAGCAAAGTCCTCCATATCAATCAGGCAAACTCAAAGAAGGGGCTGAGACAGCATTTCCTCCTGTGTGGGGTGTCACAGGGATGAACCTGTGAGGAAAAGTGGAAAATGAATGGATATAGGTGGAATTAGAGAAAGAAACACTGCAAGAAGGTAGAACACACAGTGACAAGGTGAAAGAAAGGAAGGATGGGGGAGCATTGGAGGGCACAGGGTCATCGTCTTGAGGGGCACGGAGAAAGAGACTTTTCATGGAATAGGGACATAGCTGCAGACTTTCGTTTGTGGACCAAACCATCCCGCTTTAAAAACATATTATTTCAGGGCTGGGGATTTAGCTCAGCGGCATAAGCGCCTGCCTTGCAAGCAGGCAGTCATGAGTTCAATCCCTGGTACCGATAAAAATGAAAAAGACAAAAAAAAAAAAAAAAAAAAAAAAAAACATATTATTTCACAGTGGACTACACTTTTCAGAAAGAGAAAAATAATAGAGTCAAAACTCATTTTAAAACACAGTTTTCCTATATCCCTATACGGTAATATTTGATTCTTAGATTTGGAGCATGGTGATATCTTGCTTTTCTCAGATTTACTCAAGCACGTTCTTCCTAATGAGACTCTAATAATAAACTCTATTACTAAAAAATTAAATATAACAAGATGAGCATGACATTCTGATTACAGTAATTCCAAATTTCTATGCAGTCACCATGAACAAAAAACCTTATCTTTCTTCTAAATGTTCTAGACCACAGTTATGTTTTAGTCTACACTCTCTTACGCTTGGGCTACAACTTGTGTTTATTCTCTAAACGGAAATGATCCTGTTTCATAGCTTAAATTTGTGTATGCAGGCACAGGTTTTTGAGGAGTACAAATAATTAACCTGTCATTTTCCAATAATCCGACCCATGCTTGTTTGATATGATGATCTACTTGAATTAACCCCTGGTACAATGCAGTATTTTACTCTAGGTATACACACACACGGGAACTTTCCACTAGAGAGAGAATCTCAAAAGACCAGTTCATGAGAACTCTATAATTAGTAATATTTCAAACTAAACTGTTTAACTCAGTGAAAGCAGAAAATAACAAAAAGCAAAATCCAACCAAAGAAAGAACAGCTAACACAAGTGTTAAGGAATACGCTAAACATAAACTACTTGCCCTAGAACAGAAATATTAGAAAGAGGATAAACAAGAAATTAGCAGTTTCCCTGCCCTCTGCTGGCAGTAAAATCAACTACAGCATTTACTAAAGTAATGAATAATAAAATGTCCCTGTTATGAAATCACATTTTTTTTCCCTGTGCCAAAATGTCTGAAACAAAAATCCTGGTTGTTAGATGCCAAATTTCAGGACTATTGGACTCTCTGTCCTGGTACTGAACTTCTACATAGACTATCTTACAATGAAAAATACTTTTTCCTGTTTCATCTTGGTAATATTTTATATCTTGGTATATTTTATATCTTCAGTAGGCTAACCATCAAATTCCAAGATTTTCTCATAAGACTATATGTAGACTGATGCCCAAGCTACATCAACTATAGTAATGTTTCCAAGAAACTGCCAAGGTATTTAAACCACTCATTTTTTACTAAATTCTGTAAATATACGGGTTCTAAGAGTGGCGTTCTACCAGAAATAGTGAAGTGGTATATTTACATTTACTACCTAAGCATTTTATATGCATCAAAGCAAAAGGTTTTAATTACTGGTCAATCTTTAAGTGAAATGATTAGCATCAAGATGAGAATTTGGAACACCAATTTATTTCATGTGCATATGTTTGGGTAGTGTGTACTCAGTATGATTTTAGTGAGAAAAGTTCAGGGGGAAAATAGGTATTCGTTGACTTATTTTTTGTTTTTTTAGTAAAAAATGCATTATTCTTCCCAGTTTCAAAGAAGTTTTAAAACGCGAAAAATGTGGTTTGTATTTTGGCAAGCGCCCCCTCTTCGAACCTCCTGTGTAAAATTGCTTTCTTTAAGCATTTCTCTTGTCCAGAATATACCCAGAGAAAGTACTGCTGCCCCTTTTTAATTAATGCAGCTTCCTGGAGAGGTAATAGTGTTGTTGTTTTCAACCAATAAAATGTACCAGATAAAAAATCATACACAGCCAAAAGCGGCCTATGTCCATCAGTGCAAACAATGATAGGTAATACACAACATCCCAGACATTTGCATTTTATTTTCAGATCTCCAAGGGTTGTCATTATATATGCCATTCCTCCTGCAGGAATTCCAACACACACATCCCTCCAATCATAAACACAGGAAAGGAGAAAATGTCTGCGTTTTCTCTGTAAAAATTCATGTTAGGAACAGACATAGTGCTTTAAGATTCTTTCTTGGATCTCAGCTTGATAAAATTTTATTCAAAGATCTCCTCCACGACTAGTCCTTACCTGGCATCTCCAGGTGCCTTCCTAGCTTTCTACTGGTGACTCATGTTTGACAACAGGCGACACAGGTATGCTTTCTGGGAATCATTTACCATTGTCTCTCTCCACAAAGTACACACACACACACACACACACACACACACACACACCGCGAGCAAAACAACCAAACTGCTTATTCTGACCAGGAAGTTTCTGTTTCTTTTTTCTTTTCCCTCCAACTCTCTTTTGCTCATTTCACCTCTTCCTGAAGTCTACACGAGTTTACAAATTTCCGCCTAGATCTGTTTCTTCACTTTCATCGCTGAAGGGCAGAAATGGGGAATGGGCTCCCTGCTGGCCCTGGCCAGCGTGAGAGCTGCTCGCCCTGGGGCACCTTTCCCTCCAGGACCCGCACCTGGCTAAGCTTGAGCACCACAGCAGGAGGTGTTGCTACTGGTAGCAAGGCCAGCTCTCCTGGCAGGAACAACGGCAGGGCAATCAGAGGAACCAGCGCGCGCCCAGGCCTGTCCGTGAAGCTGATGCGGAGGGAGGTGAAAAGTGGGGGGGAGGGGGATGAGGCCGGGGGCTGGTCTCCAGAGGCGCGCCTGCTCCCACCTTTCCCATCTTCTCCCCACCAACCCGTAAGCCTTCAGCACCGGCGCACAGCCCAGGCACTCCGAGGCAGCTAGTGTTCTTCTGGGGGATGGACGAATGGCTGCAGGGAAGTTTCTCCTGCTTAGGGGAGATAAGCAAGCCTTGGCTGTGACTACATCCCCACCCATCCCTGTGCGCACCGTCTCACTGTGTGCGAACCCCAAGAAAGACGCAGCCGAAAGTCAGTCCGGGTTAGAGCTCCAGAGGGAGGATCTGCTCTGACTCGGAGCCCACTCCGGGTTCCTTGGAGGCGCAGTATCACCTCCTGCTGTCCAGGTGAAGTAAGCTGAAAGCCTAAAGAAAACTACCAATTTCCTACCTCTGCCTCTTGTCAGCCCTTTTCTCGCCTTTTGGAAGCTCAAGTTCACCGAGAAGAACAGCAATAACTTCGCCAAGGGCAGACAGAAGATGTGGGGGTGTTGAGAAGGGGGTGTGGGGTGGGTGACAGGGGTCTTCAGTCGCGCACAAAACCAGCAAGCCCAAGTGCATCTTACCTTGAACTCGGTTTCCGTGCTTCCCTTCGGCGAACTGAAACCCGTCGGTTAAAAAGTGGCAAAGTAACACAACTCCTGCGGCGGCCAGGTCGGCCCTCGGAAACCTCGCCATGCCTGTACCGCGACCTCCCTCCTGCGTCCTGCCAGTCCTTCCCCGGCGTCCTGGGCTCTCGGTGGGGCTGGGGAGACTCAGCCGAGCCCTGCGGAAAGGTCTCGGGGGGCTCCGGAGGCCTTAAGTGTCGTTGGGAATTCACTCCCCCCAGGACAGTGAGCAGTGAAGGCGAGGGGAGCGCAACGCCTCCTTGGGGTCTCTCTTTGCAACTCACCGCCCTCTCAGCCCTCACCCGATACAGAACAACTGCGGGGAGGAAAAGCCACTTGCATCCAGGGCTCGCAAACTCCGGGTTGCACCCAAGCAGGAGCAGCGCCACCAGGGCGCCCGCAGACGGCGAATGCCGAGTCCCCGCGCTGCGCTCTGCTGGGTTCAAAACAGATCTAATTCCACAGCCGGCGTGGGTGCCACCTCCAAATCGTTGAGGGGTGTGGGCTCCGGAGGAACTTTCCCCAGTCTTGGGATGGCCCCAGTGGGAAGCTGGTTTGGCTGGAAATTGGTGACTGCGGGTTGCTGGCGAAACCCCTCCGACAAGTTTTTCTTCTATGCTTCGCCCATTGCAGGGCGCGCGTCCTTTCCGGCCGCCGGAGCGAGGGGCAGCGCCGGGGAGCTGAGCCCTGGGAAGGTCCGGGCTGCTGCAGCCTGAGGTCCGAAGCCAGAGCGGGGAAAATGTGTGTAAAGAGAGACAGAGAGGGGAAGATCAAAAAGAAAGAAAAAGGGGGGAAAGTGGGCTGGGAGCTCTGGAGAGGGCTCTTCCTGGTGAGGAGGAGGAGGTGGCCCCAAGCCCCCGCCGAGTCCAGGAGTTTGGTGGCGGAGGAGGCGCCACCGCCGCGCTCCCCCGCGCTCCAGCCCGGCACTTCGGGGAGGGAAGGCCGCTCGCAATTTGCCAGATCTGCGGCTGCACCTCCTCCCTCCTCCCTCTCCCCTCCCCCTCGCTCCTCCAGGCTTCTCTACCTTCCTCCCCGAAACCAGCAGCTAGCACCGACCTGTCCAATGGCTGCACTTTCCTCGGGGCTGGCAGGAGAGTCGCCGACAGATGAAGCCGAGGAGGCGAAGCCAGGGGGAGCGAGAGGGCAACCCCAGCCGCGCGCGGCCCCAGAGCGCCACCTCCGAGCCGAGGGGGCGCCATCCGCGCGTCCGGCCCGCGCTCTGCACCCACCTGGCTCCCGGGCAGGCTTGCGCCGAGCTGCCGCGGTCTGGGGTCTCTCGGGGCGCCGGAGGCTGGACTACTGCGCGCCTTTCCGAGATGGCTTGTCTGGCAGCGCTCGGGGTGTGGAGCCAGCACACCGGAGCCCGTGGGGCTGCTGACCCTGCCGGGCTCCGCGCACCCCGGGCCCGCGCGCGGGGCGGTGGGTGGCGGCTCGCGGCGGTGTGGTCCGGCTGCGCGCCGCAGCCGCGCCTTTGTAAAGTAGCAGCGGGAGCGAAAGCGAGAGTTTAAAGGAACAGGAGGCCTATTGAGTTTCCTACGGGGGCTTTGACGGGCTTTCCCAAGCTAGTTTGTTGGGGTTTTTTTCAACTCTCGAATTTGCCCCTGTGTTAACCCATTCGGGCCCTCTCGTCAGTTTATATCCTATTTGCATTCAGATAACCTGATTTTAAAGAGATAGGAAGAAAAGCAGCCAAGACTATTTATTAAAAAGTAAATGCTCTAGAGCCAGTCGGCCTGGGTAGAATTTCCCTTCCCCCACAAGGGGCAAGTAATCTCTTAGCCTTGAGTTCCCGGGCATCCAATGGGAACGGTTCTATAGGAACCCAGAGGTCTTACTGAGAGTGCTGGCAATGGATGAGAGGGGTTAATATTGTAAAATTATTTGAACATTGCCTGCCATGCAGTCGGTTGGTTCTGTGTTTCTTGAAGGAAAGGAGACCAAAAAGCATCGCTCTTATTCTCAGTTCAAAAGATAACCTTAGCCTATTTTTGTCCAAGTCATTCCATGCTCTGGAGAGCTTATGGATGCTAACATTAGGTACCACAGTTTGTCTCAAAATTCAGTAGAACTGGATTCAGATAATCATTTTACTCTGCAAATCTGATACTAAAGAAATGTCTCTCATTTGAAACAGAAATATCACATTTTCCCTAATACTAGACTCAATTTATTCTTTATTTCATATCAACATCTATATACATATATGTATATACATATATTTTATTTCATACCATCATAAATATGTAAGTATACTTATATGTGTATATATGCATACATATATATGCCATGCCTGTATCCTTTCTTATGTCATGATCCTTGATGTCTCCTGAACTTTCTTCTCACCATACTGAGGAAAGTTTGCTCTTAAGTCTGCTTATCCATGTATTTTTGAGGGCTATGCAATGTTACAGCTGTATTTGAATAGCTAGAATACTTCTCTGTTTAGCAAGTGTAAAGGCTGAACCTTGTAATCAAAACTTGATTGTATTATAAATGATGTTCCTTTTTTATCACTGTATCCCCAGGAATCCAGGTATAAAGCTTCCTAAACCCTTCTGAAGAAATCTCATTCCCATAATAGGCAAAATTATAGCAAAACTAGTAGGAACCATCTCAAAAAAGTACCTCTTTAACCAATGAGTTTCCAGTCTCATAAAAGCTGGGGAGAGGTGTTTCTCTAAGAAGAAACAAGCCCCCCCCCCTTCTACTATCATTTTCTTTCCTTCCCCTTCAGTATTGTATGTGTAGATCTTTAATTTTAATTTTGCTGTTGTTTGTTTTTTTGTTGCTGTTATGTGTTGTTATGCATGGAAATTGTTGCCAAATATTGGGAGGAAAAAACCTAATGGTAATTCCAGGACAGTCTGGTCAGACTTGTATTTGTTGATCTCTCACTGTGATGTTTAAATGCACTGTTTTGTCTTATTTTTATATTATTCTGAAGGGTTGCACATGTAGAACATACTTAAATATAAATGAAGATACAAATGTGCAAAAGTCAATCATGCTTGATGCTATAGTGTTCAAAACTAAGCAAATGTCATTGTGGTGCTTTGTTTTACATGTCAACCAATAATTATTTATAAATATTAATTTTCCTTTACACTATAGCAAATTACAAAGAAAGAAAAGTAGGGAACATGTTAATGTGAAATGGAGTTGGCTGCTTATATAATATGGCTAAATTGAGTCTGTTGTGTACATTTTCACCGTACACCCATTGTGACCATGGGAAATTAAGAAGCTTTTGTGAGAAAAGTTTCATCACCTTTCCTCTGCCCTGAGAGAGGCATTCTAATGCATGGAGTATGTTTACTATGCGTACATAAAAGGAAAAGCTAGTTCTTTTATTTGCTGGCTTAATTTGAGCAAATGAATCAGAAATTGTCAAAGAGAGCTCTAGAATTTACAAGATACTCTGTCCTTTAAGATCAAAGAGTAGAATCATTCTTAACAGCACAGAACTTTGAGCAAATAATAGACTTAAGCTATTATCTCTTCAGCCCTCAAACCTGTTTGCAATTTCTTATCTCTACAAACTTCAGAGAGATTTTTACACATCCAAGTGCAACTATATCTTTTTAAAGGTACTTGCAATTAGCCATCTCATCCCACCTCCTACTGTTAACAATGTTGTGTTTCCCAGGAGCTGTCCTAAATTGAAACTTGGCTAACAGGATGCTTAAGAAAATGGCATGCTCACTTGGGGAAAAAAGTAAGATTCAACATAAGCTGTGCAGTGCTCTGCACTTAATGCAATATTTTTGAAAAATATTACTTCAGAAGATAATTTCTGTTCATATTAAGAGTATTTGTTCAAACTTTCTACACTTGCTGTCAGATAAAGGGGAATTGCCATTAGTGAGCTGCTTTTATTCAGTCCTAATATTATGACCTTCCATCGAGGTCTAGCATGTCTTTCCCCTGCTTATTTGATAGGGCTAATTTTTTGACCTCTGCTACGCAATTATGAGACTCATTTGTTCATCTTGGCTGACCTACTCACAGAATCAACAGAGATTTTATTGTACTGTTGATGGCTCTTTGTTCTTTATATTTTTAAGTAGAAAAATTATGAAGTAGTATATTTTTAATCAAATAAGTGTTTAAAAATCCTACCAGTTAATATCACAGTTTTCTACAAGAACACTAAGTCCAAGAATATTTACTTGCTTTTAGTCACCTACCAATACTACATTTACTACTTATATGAAAAAAATTATATTTTATTTACTTGTAATGAAATAACGTACTGCACTGAAATGGGTTTCATTTAATAGTCTTCTTTCTGAATCTTAATAAACTAAAATATTTTGACTAGTAAATTGTAAAGCACAAAAAGGAGCAACTTGAATTAGTAGGAAAAGAAATTAATGAGGTAAAATAGTACACTATTACAAATGATGGAGACATTATCTTACATTTCCTTTCAAATAGCAAAAATGTGTAGGAGAGACCAAGTCCTTTTTCCAAAATTATTGGACTCAAAGATAATTCAAAGTCTTGCATTTTTTAGGGGAAAAAAAGAACATGGGCAAGTATTCAGCAAGCACCCGGAGAACTCAAAAATTAAATACAAGTGTAAGTGAATATGCTGTACCATGCAGAAAAATGGAAAATGCTGAAGTGTATATTGTTGTTGACTTCCTTATCCAATTTTTTCTGAACTTATAAAAACATCTGAGCCTAAGGGAAAATAATTGTAGAGTGTCAGGTTCAGGAGAATTGTTATTCTGCAAAGCAGAGACCCTGATGGGAGCTGGGCTCTTGGAGCAGGTCAGGGGCTTCTGCCTACAGGACTGCTCCCTGTCACAAAGACACACACACTCCTCTGATTCAGCCTTTCTGGCTTAAACTATATTTCTTCTCTCATCTTGTGTTCATCTTCTTTTCTTTTGTCCTACATTTCCTCGTCTACTTCCATCTCTATGAATGTTTCATTGAGCTATAGTTCACATCCGTAAACGTCATCCTCCCCAAAGTACTCAGATCATTAGGCTTTACTACATGAACAAGGTGGTTGAACCAAAATTACTAATTCAGAACTTTTTCATCACCCCTAAAAGGAGCCCCATGCCCACTAAATGGTCATTCCCCATGGTCCTTTTATTCTAGCCCCTGACAAACATTAATCTACTT